TGCTGGGGATGGCAAAGGAGACTCTATCAAACCTATCATGTTGGTAGCGATGGTATAGCGCAAAGTGGCCAGCGTCAGGAAGTCAGCAATAGTGATGTGGGAAAGAGTATTTACGATACGTCGGTGTGTACATGATATGCGTAGAGAATGTATCGATATTAATGAGTATCCGTTGCGAATTTATTGTACAGTATGCTAAGTACAATGTTCAAATTACCGAAGCGGCTACAAAATATCTGATGAGTTCAAACTCAGTACAAGTAGCCAATATGTATTAAACGCTACTATTGAAACGAGAATTAACTGAATCACCTCTTTAACGTCAAAATATTTTTCCTCCATTGTTATGTGTGGTTTAGCAAATTCGCTGCGTCTAAATACTTTAAAAGATAAATTCCTCACCAAAAATAAAAACTAAGTCATTATAACATAATCATAACTTTTCCTGAGGAGAATGTGTACTTAACGAGTGGTTAAACGCAAATGAAGATCAGTCATCAATGGATCAATCAATATGCCCTTTTCTCTTCCCAGCCTTTCCCGAGGAAGCATAACTAACTGAGAACTCTCAATGTCGCACCCTCCTCGGCATCTGGACGAGGCTCAAGTGCCGAGTGGACGGGAGGGGCGACGAAGCCTTTGCCAGCGCCGGGGGGCGGAGATGACGGCCATGCTGGTGGCGGGAGGGGGGAGTCCGCCATTGACGGCGTCGCGGCGCACATCGCTGGGAGCGGGGCCGGCTCGGGCGCTTCGGCGCCCCCCGCCTAGACGCGCTCTCTTTCTGCGATGGCGCTTGCTGGAGCCCGGGCTCCTCCAGCCTGCCAGTGAACGCTTCCTCGGTGTAGGGATGCCATATTTCGATCTCGATGTGTTCAAAACATCCATGTTTTTATAGAATTATGGACGTATTTAACATCGGTTTTTTGATGGCGATGTTTTCAACATTTATGTTTTAATCTTTTTTAAATGAAAACAGTACCATCATAATGAAATTCTGAAATAATGTTTGTATTATTATGTTTTGTTGAAGGCCTCTCATTAGCGGATTTCCGAAGCACCGCACAAAATATGGAACGGCAGGCGTATTTCGGAAGAATAATTTAAATTTAAAATGTTGTCTTCACAGTATTGTGTGTTTTGTGTATATTTACTGTGTGTAGTTATTTGCCAGTTATGTTGGCTGGTGAGCGTGGTTAAATATTCATTATTGCATTTATTCCCCAGTCTTTTCCAAAGTAATTGTTCATAAGAACAATGGAACCTTCTTTCCGGAAACAAGCGGCTTTATCCTTCCAAATATACTTCCAAAAAACTTGTGCGTATTAAACGCCTCCTCTCTGATGTGATGGGTGTTCCTGGCCTGATTTAGATTTGATTGAACAGAGATCAGTTAACTGAAGTTCTCAAAGTATTAAACCGGCATCCAATATTGTTTTATAGTTAGTAGCAACAGTAAGCGAGGTTTCACCATTAACTGGCTAGTCTCAGAACCTACTACAACATGTGTATGCGTATGGCTGCACTGCAATATAGTGACATTTTTGACATGAGATAGCACGAAAGAAGAGCAGCGCGTAATGCTATCCGTGTTTTGTTCTCCCATAAAACGAAATTCATCGTAGAATGAAATAAAAGTACAATGCGCATATTTAATATGCGTGTAGATCATGAAATTTTCAGATTGTCATATCACTATGTCAGAAGCTACTACATCTCGAAACGTAAGGCGTTTGTGAGATAACTCTGTGAGAGGGAGCGTGACTGCGCCCGACGAAAGATTATTTTAATGACTACATCGTACTGCGTGAGAGATTGGAAAAATTAGCTATCCTTATTACTAATTACAATGTACACAAGAATTTAAAGAAAACTATGCAGCCTGTGGCCATGCAAAAGGTGCTATGGTTTCAAACTGGGGACTTGCGGAAAATCCAAAAACAATGAAACAGTTTCTATTTTGACTGAAAAATTACAAATATTTGATAGTGTTATTCCGCCTAAACTCATACTGCGAGTGTCAACCGGATTCTCAAAATTCAGCACGTCTCTTCTCACGCAGCAACTGACGTCATGTGACAGCAAGGCTCCAAGAAAGAAGTCGTCCGCCATTTGGTACTCACGTGTTGCGCTATGGGACTTTATTACGTCTTGGTACGTAAAGAACTGATGTACTCTATAGATACTATTGCAGTGTCCGTGAACACTGTTTTTGTTAAAATATTTATTTTTTGGAGCGTTGTACGACAGATTGTTATTCGTTCTTGTTAAACAGAAAATCTGCTTCTTGTTGCGAAAGTCGTTTGATGTGGATTGTTCAGCTTCATTCCTGCTGTTGCAGGCCACATTTTTTTACCCGTATACTTTTTGAAGAGTTTCGTCAAAGAATTTCGTAATTGAATTATTAATTATTGAAAGTATGAGCGTTCAGTAAATTTATTTAAAGGCAACACTAATTTTATATATACAATTAGAAATTATGCTCTTTTAGATAAAAGAAATATTGTTGTTTCATACTGATTCAAAATTGAATTTTTATATTCCGATAGTCCATCATTATTTTCATCCAATTCTCTTTTCCAAATTTGTTCTTGTTTTTTCTAAAACTCAATCAAACATATTTCGAAATTAATAGTTTTTTTTGAAAATAATATTTTCAGGGAAACGACATAATTTGGGAGTGAAGTTGGGGATATTTCCTACAAAAATAAATACTTCTATATTAGGAATACTTCATATTTTGTGATTTCGATGCATTAAAAATATTTCCTTAATTAACTTTTAATGATTTATATGAATTTAATACCGCATGTAAATGTTACTTTTATTTATATTGAGAACATAAATACTGGTATTGAAAACAAATTCTCATGAACAAATTACGTTTTTGAGAATAACCAACATTTATATCACACTCAATTTTTCAATCTTTTAATATAAAGGAAAATCAAATGATTACTGAGTCCACCGTAGTAATATGTAAAATCTCTATTTTAGGTATGAAATATCGTTTTCGTGCCTCGTCAATGTGTACTCAGCATCACCTAGGGACGCATCATGGCACTGAAATTCTTCAGCAACTTGTCAGTGCCCCTGAACGCGAGAAGACAAGCTCAACGGAAACAAGCGATTGCAACCGCCCGGGAGGCAGTGGGGGGCGAGGAACAGCCGGGAGGACGCAATTCTTAGCCCTCGCTGTTAAGCATTTACAGTTCGAGAGAACGTGGCGGCGAGAAGACCAATGTTCTGATCTCTCTTATCCTGGCATTCAGGTGCCAACAGCTCTGGGCTGAGATTAGAAGAGTAACCAGGCTGGCAAGGAAATTAGCGATGAGAATCATGATATTCAAGTTTTCACATATTATTTAGCCGCAATGAGGAAGAATCACAATCCAGTAACTTCTAGTGAGCAATTATGAACAAGTATTCCTTTTCGAATTGCTAATATGATTTCCAATGTCAATAGAAATTGATCAATATCTTAATTTCACTCATCATTTACTTACGAAGAATTATGACGAAGTATTCCTTTTTGAATTGCTTATATGATTTATAATGTCAATAGAAATTGATCAATATCTTCATTTTACTCATCATTTACTTCCTGAACATTTTCTGTAATTTCAAATGTTGCTCTTGCAGTTCTTCATATTTGCAAGGCACCAATCAGAATTCTATATTAATCACTAGAGGGTATTATACGTAAGTTAAAATCATGCTCTCAGGTACATCCTTTCCGGAAACAAGTTGAAATTCGCCTTACACCATCCAGGCATTTATAAGGTTTTAACAAGCCAGGTCCATCGACATGGTTCCTTTACATTTCACATCTTCGATTTCTTTATTTCGTCCATAAATAAGTGGAGTCTATAGGTTTCTTCAATTACACTGACGGATAACTGATAGAATGAACATGTTATTTCCAGCTCTTAAGCTATTTTTATATTATTTCAAAATTGCCCATGATGAATTACGGCAATGACGATTTTAATAATCAGTGAAAAGTTGTACTCACTGAAAATGGAGTTTTTTGATTTCGTCGTATAGGATAAGTCACAAAACTAGTACGCATTAGTGTGTAATTCGTGCGACAGGACACATTATATCCACGACATTTATACCATGTGTACTAGCAATAAACACATCTGTTCTAGCAATAATATGTTTAAAATGTAACTTAAGATAAAAATTGGAGCAGCTGACTTTCGTAAATATTCGTTATATTGTTATTTTTTGTTCCAATGTAAAGTCGGCCATTATGATCATCAGTCAGAAATGGTGAGTAATTGCAAACTTCTCACCAACCGAGGTAATGAATGTATAAAATAAACATATCGAATTCGCTGGTTGCTGAATAATCATCTACAACGATTCAAATGTTTGACCTAATAATGACATTTTCGTCAGATCTTTTCATTAGTTCTGTTGTCATTTCTCTATTGCTGAGATCGAGTTGTATATTTCATTCTTATCCTTGATTTTACAGAAGAACATCAAGAAGTAGGAATGAGACATGAAGCTGAAATGCAGGCGCAAATATTCACACCACATCAACAACTATTTTAATTTTAAATGTAATTGAGATTTGTTATTAGCGAGAAACTCTAATGATATCTATTTTCACCAACTTATTTGTCAAGCAAGTTTAGTACAGCATTTGTAAGAGTTGTAATTTGATAATTTCTTGTCCCGTTCTTGTGTGAACGAAGAACTTTCAAACAGCAAAAATCTTATTAAAGCAATACAGAAGTATATTGAAAATGTTCAGTTCTATGCAAAGGGCAAGATTTATTTCTCGACAAATCTTGACATCGATAGTACCAGTTCTAAATAGTCACTCACCATCACGTGGAATGCACAATGGCATATTTACTCCATTTCAGTCGGTCCACATTGGTGACGCATCAGACGTGGTCTGCAGTGGTTAAAGGATACTAGGTAAGCGTCGAACACCAGAAAAACAACACAGGTATGAATTAATTTATAGAACATATATTATTTTTTGTATATTTACATACCATACTTTGCTACAAAATCAGTAACAGGAAGGACATGAACTTCTTGGGCAGATTTTCACACCGCCGCTAGCAGCCTTAGCACACATATACACACGCATCCTGTCAACCGCGAGACAAATTGAAGCACCCCTGGCGAACTCTCCTCACCAGAGCGGCGTTATCGCTGCGCCGCCGGCCCTCACGTCACTGACACTCGCCGGAGAAAATGGAAAGTAGGAAGGAAATGCGCATGCGCCGAACCGATTTACGCAAGACCACATGATCGTGATGAGGTCATGGAACGTCTTATAATACTATGCGACAAGTACTGGTTTATTACTTATAAAATAAATATACATTTAGCGGTGTAAAATATAGTAGTTAACCATCAATGATTTTCTTTTAATGTAGTAGTTGATGTCGTTTTCACGTGATTACGGTTTTATGTTTAAAAAGTGCAATACACACCGTATAAGCATTACTATCATAGGCGCCATATATGCACACATTAACCTTTTGATCCTTGACTCAAGCTCAGATGTAAGCGATGTGAAAATGTGCTTCGTATAGCTCTGACGTATTTCTTTACAATTAACTAAATGAAATGAATGACGAAGGAACAAGTACAAACTACCCCCTCTATGAGACAAGAAAGTCGAAGGGTTAGCACGCGCGAATCTTATATCAAATAAACGTATTATATGGCGAATCGCCGGGGTTAGTAGTTCTGCAACATTCGTTTCATAACGTATGCTTCACAGTTTTCAGCGAGGCTTCGGTTCCCATTGTTAAGTGCTCGCGCACATACCAGCGTAACTCGAAGTTCTGCGTGCTCATAAACGAGCACAATACAAATATTATTGCTTACACGCAGACTACAAGTAAGAAAGTGTGTTTCTTTGGCTCGTAAAATGAACAGACTTAATACTACAGCCAACGAGTACCCTATACTCTCTCTCCCCTTCGGAACAATACCCGTGCGTGTGGCATCGACTTTGCCTGGGCGTTGCGGCTTCCATTTGGAAAGCGGCCGCGGCCGCGAAATTGACATGTCAGCGGCCGGACGGGCGGGCAGTCAGATAAGCGGCGCATGAGCACCGCCGCGCAAGAAAGCCCACGCGCATGCGCAAGTGCGCACGGCGCGCACCTCCACCCGCCCGCGCGCGGGAAAAACCGCGTTTAGGCGGCGCACGGCCACCGCACCATCGCAATGCGAGCGCGCGCCGCCGAATCGCAATGAGCACGGTCACCACCGCTGCCGACGGCGCGCAGACGCATCGAGTTATAATTTCGCCTCGCGACCTGAATCTCAATCAACCGATGGGCGGCTATCGCGCACACAAAACATGCAAATACATGCTAAACGTTGTTAAAAAATATAATACAATTACGAAAACACAAATAAGTCGGCGATTTATATGCAGCCGCATAATGAGGTTTGCTCGCGGAACGACGACGAAGACGACAACGGGCCGTAAACGCGGGACGGGATTGAGGTTATGCAGGGATGGGAGCGGAATAGGGGAGCGGCGGGGCGGAGGCGAGCGCGGGTGTCAGTCGGGGAAGTCAAGGAGCGTCGCCGGCGCGTTGTGCGTGGCGGAAACGTGGGGTTGAAAGGGTGAGGCTGTCGGGAGGAGACTGTGGCTCGACGTGGGAGAAAGGCCGCAGCAACAGCGGACTCTCTTCATACATTATTTAACATTATGTGTATCGCAGCGAATGCGTGATTACCGGAGACCGTGCGGACAAAACAAAAATAATTTCTGCTGTGGAGGCGGCGGCGGCGGCGGGAGCGTGCGCGGAGACACGCAAGCGCCGGTAGCAACAGCCCCCAACCGCCCTTGACCATCCCCGACCGCCCCCATCCGTTGAGGTAGACGGAACCCCTTACTGACGGCCATAAAGCAATTACTATCCCGAAACGCCGCGTTATTTCTCTCTCTGCTCCAGACAACGCCCAATCGGAGCTATACTTTTCTTCTTTCTACATCGGTCCGTGACATAAATCTGACAAATACCGTAGCTGCGCCGCAGCGCAGGAATAAACCTGCCCGAGCGGGTTCCTTAGCGGCGGAGGCGGCAAGGGCGGGGGCGTAGGCGGGGGCGCAGGAGGTGACGTGGGTGGAGGTGGATGCCGAGGGGTGGGGACAGGAGCCAGCTGAGTCCGGCAACGGGTGGGTCGGCTGGAGACGGGATTAAAGCACACTGTTGCCATCGGCTCTCTCGGGCTGTCGGTTGGGAGGCAGCAATGGCGGAAACTGGGAAAGGGAGTGGCGACGTCGGGTTGGACTAACGCGGGGGTAGCGATTGATGCGGTGGCGTGGGTGGGGGGCAATATCTTCCGGTTTGAACTGTTCGCCCGCCGCCGCCGCCTCCACCACCTGCTCAGTTGCAGTGCGGGTGGAGGCGTAGGTGGCGGTAGGGTCGTGCCTTCGGGTTCAGGATTTTCGCTGCGTCGGTAACTTATGATTAGGCGGGATTTTTCCAAGTAACGCTTCCCTGCCGTCGCCGAATCCGTGCTCTCTTCCTGGCTGTCCATCCTATGCGTGGACTGCCTTTGCCCACGCCGGCCGCCGCTAGTTTGCGGGACGGAGCGGTTGGTCGTCGGCGCTGCTTTATAAATCGAAGGCTCTGCGCGGGCCGAACCAATTATGCCCGGATTCCGCACGCGGCCGAGGAACGAACGAATCACGAACCGTAAGTATTAGGAATTCATTACACAAATGGGCTTTCCTTATATAAAAGGTCGTTCCTTATTCCGCGGCCGCGCGAGGAGTGGAGTGGGGCGGGGTGGGAAGCGAGTGGGCGGGGCGGGGCAGGACGGGGATGTCGCGTGTCTTCGGGCAATCGCCCATCGTTGCTGCTGCCGCTGCAGCCGCCGACACCGCGAGGAATAGTGGATGGGTAACTGCTCACGCAGTTAAAATGTATCAGTGAAGCTTGGTACCGGTCTCGGCGGTGGGAGTCAGGACTCCCGGTATCATCCGCCTCCCTGGGCCAAGCGTTGAACCTTCGTCTCTTTTTCAAAAATGCCGAAAGCGTTTGCGGGATACATCATTTTTTTTTGTCCCAGTGCATTAGCAGAACTCATTCGTCCTTCTGAAAAACGTTTCCCCATATTCATGTCGAAAGCTGCCGGGGTGCCTCTTTCTACTACTCTTCCTCTCGCACGCAAGTCTGTCTCGCTCTCACAAACTTTCGTTCTCTCGTCTAGCTGCAGTGCCAGGTGCATGGAATTTTCTTCACAATCACACACATATTTAGTGTAAATGAAGTAAGAAATGAGATTGACTTATTAAACATATTTATAGCATATAAAAGTATTTTTCTCTATAAATATAAACACACGGTGCGCCGCCGCGAGATCTGATCCCGGAATGGCGGGCAACGAGGCTGTCTTCAGTCCTCCAGTCCTCGTGGCGCCGAGGCGCCGGTGCGGGCGCGAGTGCCCGTGTACCCTGTTCCGTCCGAGCCGTCGACGTGCGGGATGCGCGCGAGAGCAACGAGCGAGGCAGGCAGGCAGCGAGCCTCAGGCGCGGGCCCCGCTTCGGAGAAACCCATTTCGCCACATACCAGCGCGGATTAACACCTTACCTCCTCGACAGGCCTGGCTCGACCCCCTCCCTCCGCCTCCCCTCCGCCTCGCGTGGAGGCAGGAGGGCAGGCGGGGGTGAGCCGATTCCGCACGCGCGCGCGTCGCGTCTCGCTTGTCACTGCGCACGCACACACACACAACTTGCTACTCGCGCCCTTGCAACTACTGCTTGTCCTACTACAAAATACACACACACACACACACACACACACTCATGACGTGTCACTCCGTGAACACCAACGCGGCGCCGTCACAATACAAATAACTTATTAACGGGAGTTCAGGCAGGCGCCGTGCGAGTTCAGTGGCGGCCGAAGAGGAAGTGCAGCCTGAGCGAACGTCAGGTGCGTGCTCCGGGAAGGGGGCGTGGCGCAGCTACGCGCCGTGCACCGCCGTGTGCACGGGCCTGTACTGCCGCTCGCACTGCCCGATGCGTTCGTGCACGCGCGCCAGCCTCTCGTTGAGGATCTTGACGCTCTTGTCGGGCAGCGACGGCAGGGCGTCGCGCAGCTCGGGGTCAGCATCAGCGAACAGCCGCTGCAGACGCTCGCCCACGTCCCCGGCGGCGTGTAGGCGCCGCACCGCGTCCGCTGTCGACTTGCGGAAGACGCACAGCGCCTCCAGCAGCGCGCCGTGGTAGTGCTCGTACTTGTCGAGCAGGCGGTAGCCGTGCAGCAGGCCGCTCTCGTTGTCGAAGAAGACCAGCAGCCCCGAGCCGGGCTCGCGCGCCAGGTTGTGCGCCGGCGCGTCCATCATGGCCGGGTTCCACTGCAGGTTGTACAGGTTGTTGACGACGCGGTCCAGGTTGGCCGTGAGGTAGTCGAAGACGATGAGGTCGGACCACTGCGCCAGCTCCACCAGCTCGTCGGCTGGCCGCTCGCCCACGTCGGGAGGGTGCAGGCGGCGCGCAGACGTGCGCAGCGAGGACGGGATGTGCGCGGGCTCCAGCGCCGGCACGAACCTGCAACAGGTTCACGTCGCGTCAGTGACTCTCTTACACTCATCGACACTCTTATACCCACCAGAAGTGATTAGAGAGTTTGTGCACTATCAATTTGCACATTCGTAGTTCAAGTTTTACATCACTTTTGTGCATCAGCGCATGCGCAGAAGATGAAGATTGCAGTCGGTCGCTGTCCGCTATGGCGTGCACAAACTTCCTATTTTTGGTACGCCGTAGCGGGCAGCAATCGACTGCAATCTTCATCTTCAGCAAATGCGCAGATGCACAAAACTAATGCGTATGTGCATGTGCAGAAAATCCATAGTGCTGTCGGTTGCTTTAAACCCTGGAGGTGCAAAGTCTCCCTAGTGACGCGACATCGATAACAAAACATCGATGTCACCAAACATCGATGATCAAAATTAAAAGATCTATGTTAATAATAGGGAGTTTGTGCACGCCCTAGCGGACAGCACCATCGATAGTGTGCGCATGTGCAGATGAACTGAAGTGATGCGAAACTTAAACTACGCATGCGCAGAAGATCAAAGGGTTTTAACGTTCGAGGGTGCACAAAATCACAAATACATCGACCCTCAATATTTTAAAGTTTGCTTAGTAACCACTGACATCAAATACGTGCCCCAAAATTTAATTGACCGTTTCCGTGTTTATTAATTATAATTAGTATTTAAGTGAAAATAAAGTAAAAAATAACAAAAACGACGGGAAAATGTAAACTTGAACGTCTGAGCGTCCAGGTTCATCTCAAAGGGTCAGTCGTCAATTCAGCGAATGGAAAGTATACATGGAAAGATGACAATATGGATAGTCGAGGCAGGCCATGTGTTCACACCGCATGCGTTTACCATCTCTTCATGTGCAAAATAAAACGGAAGACGAGGAAAATAGCAGATCATCGCATTCGAAAGATAATTTGCTCGAAGGTAGTCCGAAATGCATTCCTTTGGTTCGAACACTAACTGTGTTACTGTCAGTTATTTTACAATCAGTTAACTTTGAAAATATTGTGACAAGGGGAAGTTTTCATCAAACTTTCTCCGAAATCATATAAACAACGATGTTCCTACATAAACATAGATGTTTTGAAAAGATTAACATCGATGTTGCATCTCTCATTCCCATATGACGCAGCCAAATGTGAGTCGAACTATTTGCTACACATTGGTGTAATAGCTTTAATAACACTATTTCGTAATGGTGTTCTGTTATAATATCCACTTAACGCAACACATGAAAGGAATGAGAAGCCACTTTTAACAACTGGCGATTGTTAAAAAATTTGACAGATGAGTTATAGCTAAGGATGGTGTACGAGTAGTTCCAAACATTAGTATTCCGAGTAAGCCCGAGCACATGCAAAGGCACGATAAGGTGTGTGCAATCACATCTACTGGCAGATCTGTACCGTACTCGACATTACGAACACCTGCTCCAAGTGGTTCGAACACTCACCAAAACTGGTGACCGGATTGTGTACAATATTGGACAACCAACAAATTCAAGCTGTTATCAAGATAGCGGCAAACAAAAAGTGTATTGTTAATCGGGATATGGAGAAACAAACTGTGGCGCGCGTAACGTCATAACGTCGAAACCAAAGATGCAGATAAACTTCTTAAATAGACGATTTTGAGAGAAATCGAGATCAGTCGAATGTGATGCGTTAAAGCACAGGTCGTCCCGATAGTTATCGAAGGTCTGGAATTTGTTCCCCAAATTTTTTTTAAAAAACTTGGGTAAAGGTGTGAACAAGAAAAGTAATGAAAGACACACAGCCGGAGACCCTAAGAAATTTAAGAAAATAATTCATTTTTATTTCCCTTGTCAGTAATTCACAATACACAAAAAAATTCTCCGAAAAATAGGACCAGATTTTCCCGAGAGGTCCCCAAAAATGGAACCAACACTTCTTCCTTTGCCGTTTTTTTCTACTTACGAAGAAAAAAAGGAAAAATTTTAAGTCGTTTTTGAGAAAGTAATTTTTTAAAATTTGCTATGTTTCACGAAAAAACTTGATAGTTTCAAAAAATTAAAATTACCTTCCTTTAAAATCTATTTTTGATGAACAGATTTCATTAACGAAAAAATCATCATTGTAGTTGTAGAAAGAAGGCGAAAAATATTGAATTTGTGCACTTTAGAAAATTCTGGGAGTTCAACGAAAATGCGACCTACGTCATTTCTTTAATCGTCTTTTGCTCTATCAAACGAAATTTTTAAAGGAAAAATTTTGAATCAGTTTTGAGAAAATTTTGAAAATTTGGAGAATATTGAGGCTTTATGTAAAGTATCCCCCAAAATTTAAAAACCCGTTTTAAAGTAAAGGAGCTGCGGCATTATTCAGATCGTTTGGGGAATATCAATTTTGGTGAAAATCCTACTTACTGTTTAGCGGCTAGCGTTGTCCATAGACAGAAAGAGACGTACTCATGTATCGCCGTGAATTGATTGTTCAGTACGAAGGACTCACCAAAGGTGGATTACGACTACACAAGGTGTTGGGGGTCGTAAATCACTACATGTAGGAGCAAGATTTATCAATTTTTTCGTTACCATGGCCCGGATGTAAACGTTTTTCTGTCGAAAAATCCGCCGCAGCATTACTACACTGCATATTGCCTTAGGCGAAAAACTAAAATATACTGTTCCCAAAAACGCGATGTCTTGTACTTTCTCATCTTTTGAATGACCTGAATAAGTTCTTACATACTTTTTGAGGAACTAATCCAGAACTTGGGTAATTATCAAGATAACCTGCTACTCTTTACCTCCAGCTGACACCGAATTTCAAACACTGGTTTTGAGTGTGTTACCTGCCTTCGTAGATACGGAATTCTGATCGTATTGCCCAGCATCATCTTCAAAAGAATTTGATTTTTTTCTACAACTCACGGATATTTGCTTTGTTTGCTGCTATGACAAGATCATAATAACTATTTTGACCACACAATATTGTACGCATTCCAATAGATGTCTAAGATGTTGATGAGTTTCATACCATTTGGAACTTTGAGGGTCTTAAAGATCTATCAGTTTAGGTAACTACAGACCTTATAGTGTCTATCCATTTTTACCGACTTTGCGTAGCGTTAATGTAACGTTAATCCTGAACCTCCCCTCTACAATAGAACTACTGTACCAAATTTAACTACGTTTTTGGAGTCATTTAAGAACAGAAATTCCATATTCTTCTTTATTTGCAAAGTACATCTTCGCAAAATAATGAATTCTTAAGAGTTATTGAAGTATGATGGTACTAAAAATGTTGCTACGCCATATACTTCTTTCGAACTAACTCCATTGCTCCAACTATTATTCTAGCTGTTAATACGATGAAATAACAAGAAACGTTTGTTTCGCATTGTCGCAAAGGTAAGACTGAGCTTTGTTTTAATTTAATTTCATTCATCAACGACATGAGAGGGGATCTTGGGAAGCATTATTTCCGAAACTGTCATGCCGCATGCAACACAATGAGACGCACCGGAAGAACCGATACTTATAAACTTACTGAGATAGCTGCTTCAATTGATGAGCGAGTTGACAGACAGACTTTTCAGCAGGTACATACCTCTAATACGCTATTTGCGCCGACGCGCTAATGGCGCGCAAATGCGAGGCGATGGCATCGTCATCAGTGTTCTTTATCTATGTGTCATTTTTCATCTTTTGTGTGTTAAATTACGAATTCAGTGTGATATTAGTATGCATTTTCGTACCGTTGGCATACAATCTGATCATGCGAATTTGAATTATTTTCGGAAAAAGGTTTACGATGTGAGATAAAAAGTAAAAAAAATCTTCGTCGATTGTCTTCACGGCACGCAGCGAAGTCGAAATTGTAGACCCTAATCTTCTGCGAGAGTTCGTGAATTTATAGTGACTTTTGATACTGCTGTGTAATCAAACCGCAAATGTACCAGAAACTCAAACTTCTTGATGCGATTTTTACGGCAACCGTGTGAAAGAACCTCCAATTCCAATGTATTCGTATTTTTGTAGACACACTATCCTTTATCCAACGAGAGAAAGAAGTGGATGTCAGCAAACCGAAATGTGCCCCGCCCCTGAAGCGGGTAGTCCGCGGCCACTGACGTGAGCTGTCACCTTACCAGCTGTCAACGACAAGCTGTCTCTTCAGACTAGGTGATCCCTAACCTAGATCGATCGGTGGAAAAGTGTTTACACGGTTTATAATAGATCGGAAATGTAATTGATAGATCTTCGTTCGACAGACACATTTTCGGATGCGATCGGACGAGGTATTTCGGATTCTCTATGACCATTTCTGTTCCTCATCATTTACTACAATAAATTGGGCACATTCTACAAAAACGACTGAAGTCGTCCGATCGAAATTTCGGCCAAAATTGGCTCCAAGCGTCACTACTCTAAGTAATCATTTGAGAATTATTTCGAGCTTTTGACATACTTCTTGCGAAAGCGTTTCGCAGTTCGTACATATGTGTGTCCTTATCGAACAACCTACAACGAATAATTTTCTTCTTGGCTCGACTGCCCGCTACGGGCCTTGGCCGGCCAGCCGGGACCCAGCCTCTCGGCCATGGGATAAGGGGTTGATAAGGTTAGCACGAAGACATTCTTTCATCGTGTATTCTGGTATTCTTAACCTTAGGGTGGACTTTCTCGTCATTACACAGCAATAGATACGGGGACATTTGTAAGGAAAGTGCACAGTTATAATTTGCTTCGGCCGGGGTTGCACCGTGAAGAACGCTAACCAACAAGCTACCCAAAACTGTTTCCACAAACATTTTTCAACTTTCAAAATGCATGTATATTGAGAAAGAGACATGAAGCAACACGATATAATCCGATTCTATTTAATAGAACGCAACTTTTTATGAATCATGAAATGGAAACTTGATATCGGTTCTGGTCTCTATAACTCTATCAAATAATTGTATACATGAACGGAACACTCCTACTCGCAATAATTGTAAGAAGAGATTTTGAGGTGAATGTGAAATGCT